ATATATATATATATAAAAGTAATTATTTTTTAATTTTATTTATATCTACCTTGGCTGTACCTTATAATGTTTGTTGCTGTGCTATGATAGTTTTAATTCATGACCACTACAGCCTATATACACAGATATATAGACTTGTGCATGAGAGAGTAAAAGGTCCTCTACATAGAAGTCTTAGATGGTCATGGACCATCTTAAGTCGTAGGAAACTGACCAATTCTAATCGAGTATTCTCCTTATATTTGATTGTTATTAGTTGGTTTCCTACGACTTAAGACTCCACGACTATCTACGACTTCTATATAGAGAACCCTTAAGAATACAAAGTGTTTCAATAATGATGGTTAAAAGCAAATTATTTTTTGCAGTCGTTATATGCGAACTGAATGCCTGAATTACAAGTATGCTCATGACCATGCGTTACCTATAAGTCGTCTGATTGCATCTCTGGGAAATAAAATGCAAACATGCACGCAAAGATATGATCGACGCCCATACGGCGTTGGTTTACTCGTAGCTGGATATGATGTGAGAATTTATTGAAAATAGTATATAATTCAGTATATGTTAAACATGTTTTTTTAATAATAGTCGCTTCGTAGGACAAAGGACCGCATATATATCAGACATGTCCATCTGCAAATTACTTTGACTGTAAAGCGATGGCTATAGGAGCACGTTCTCAAAGCGCAAGGACATATTTAGAAAAACACTTAAATGAATTCTTGTCGTGCGACCTTGACGAATTAGTCAAGCATGGTCTTAGAGCATTACGTGACACTTTACCTAACGAAGTTGATTTATCAGTGAAGGTAAGTATAGACTTGACCTAATCCATATCTTATTAAAATAGGTTTCCGATAGGAATAAAGTATATCATTGTCATCTCATACTCCTTCATACGATTTATGATCTTTAATTTTTCAATAAATTTATAAAATGAAAGCTGACATGGAATAAGAATTGGGATCAAACCCAGGACTCACAGATTAAGTCAATTGTTCTCACACAACGCTATATGTCATTCCATGATCTAACAGCTGATTTATACAAGATGTTCAATTTTAGTTTATCATTTCTTTTATCTTTGTAGGACAAGATTGAATCAAAGATATGTTCAGACAAAAATTATATGGCTTGACAGAGCACAAATAGTGTAAAATCAATTTTCGAAAAAATCGATTTTTCATGGTTATACATTTTTTTAGTATGATTCTTTCAATTATCCTGTTCATCAAATTATTAAGGCATCTAAAGATATCGAAAAATTAATGGTTTATGAAACATCTATTTTGGCACATTTTGACATAAAGTATTTTATAAACTATTCAGTTTTCGATAATTCTACGCGTTAATACTTTTGTGCACAGAATAATGAGATGAATCAACAATTTATATGAAGAAAAAGCTACATATATACAGGGTATTCCGAAATTTGAGGGTAATATTATTATAGCGTGAAACGTTGTGAAAAACAAAGTAATAAAAGTGTAAGCTACTTGTTTTCCATAAAGTAATTTTTTCAAGTATAAACGTTTAAAATTTAAAATTTTATTAACCATAAGCGTTGGTTAAAAAGTCGACTGTTTGTGTAATAGTGTGTATGCAACGGCAATGATTACGTTTACACCGATATCCTTAATCGGATTTAATGACATCCATAGTTATGAAACTGTCCAGTCATAGCTATTGTATTTATCTAAAGAATGGGATGGCTGTGATTAGCCAATTTCCAACTATGAACGTTATTAAACCCGATTAAATAATCAAAGACATGTTTACACGATTTTTAAGTTATTAAATAAAAAATTGTTTGATTTCTTGATATTTTCACAGATACAATAGAATTTTTTACTCCAGAATACGCTAGTGATATATGGTATGAAACATACTGCATATTATTATATGCAGTATGTGCAGTAAATTGTAAAATATCTGCTATAAGAATCTCATTAATATTTAATTCTAAGAATCAGTTTTGATTTAAAAAGGGGACATTAAATCTTGTTTATGTTTCAGAATGTATCAATTGGCGTAGTAGGAAAGGATTATGATTTCGCGATTCTCAACGAAACTACGACAGCTAGTTTCTTGTCCCAGATTGAAGGAGATGATAAACGTGGAAGACCCACTGAACCAGCTGTGCAAGATGACAAACCTCCGCAAGATCCGCCAACCGACGAAGGTCCTCAGGATCCTCAAGTCGCCATCGCCATGGACACAGATTAAATTAATATATATGAAGTTTTGAACTTTATATGCATTCAATTTATATATAAATCTGCATTTTCTGATTAAATATCTCAATTTTTTCGTAAATCTACTACACGCTACAGAACATTTATTATCAGTTTATTAACAGTAATATATATTGTTATTCGAATCATTTTATCATTAGATTGTGATGATTTCTTTTCGCAATGTTTTCGAATTCATTATTTATATTGATTTCCTATCTTGTATGTCGATTATACATTTATCTACACTTCCGTATTTTTCATTCACGACGTAACATGGTCATCAATCTGCTGTTTCTTCCGTTGTTTTAATATATTTGTTAAAAAGTATTCTCCGGCCTTATAAGATGACCGAACTAATGGTCCACTGGCAGTATACAAGAAGCCTAGTTGATTCCCCATATTTTCCCACGCTTTAAATTTCTCTGGTGTTATATACTCAATGACTCTTAAGTGTCTTTTGGTAGGTTGCATGTACTGTCCCAATGTTATAGCATCCACATCAGCAGCCTTTAGATCTTGCATAGTTTGTTCGACTTCCTGGTCAGTTTCACCTAGCCCCAGCATTATCGACGATTTCGTAATCAAATCGGGATTCAACTTTTTAGCTGCTTTTAATACAGCCAATGACTGTCTGTATATAGTAAACGACAAATTAATTTGAATTAACAAATGCGTAAGTATTATTAATAAATATATATCTATGTATTATATATAGATATGTACACAAGATGTTTTTTAAAGTCCACCCACGAATCATACGCTATTTCTGATGAAAACTGAGTCGGAAAGTCCTTAACAATTTTGCAATTTTCGCAATAGTTGACGGAATATTAATTTCGAAAGATTGCCGATCTGAATTGAAAATAAAATGATCTTTGGCAGCCTATTAAGAGTTAACGTCAATGACTCGCTGATTCAGCACTCTTCTGTTTGGAAATCGTCACGTATACTCTCGCACCGCCTCTCTAGCATTACCATCGCAGAAACCATACACGAAAATCGTGTCAGCGTTAGAATATTATGTACGCCCACGTATTGTGACGAAAGTAATTTACTCGATGGCTTTTGGATGAGTAACTGACGAATTTATAGGAGAATGACAGATATGTAAACAAACAAAAACGTTTTCATCAGAAAACGAAATATTATCGTTTTGATGTGCGACTTCAGCGATAATGCTTCAGAGGCAGTGCGCGCCGATTTCCAGACAGAAGAGAATGCCGGATCGACGAGTCATTACGTTGACCAGATCAGTGTTTGGCTGCGATATACGAGCGGTCCATATAAGATGCAATGCGTGCATTGCTGCGAGAGGCCAACATTTTGAATATTTGCATTAAGCAAGTGACAACGTGAATAAATAAGTGTGAATGAAC